GATCGTTTCACCTGACAATTCTTTTGATTTTTCTTGTTTTTTGTCGCATAATTTGTTGTCAATGTCTGTTAATGTCTTTTGGATTTTCTCTGTATTTGTAGCTACACTTTTTTCTAGTTTTAGAAAAGATTCTGCAAATACGGATTCTAGTCTTTGGATATTAGCAACGTCTCCTACCTGGGTTTCAGTACTTTTGTTGAAGGATATGCATTCCGCTCTAAGACTCTGTGAATTATTGCTACTTGTAACAATAATTTTGGGATTTGTTTCTTCATGTTTTTGTTCTGTGTCGCTTTCCTGTAGCGTTTTAAGAGGACCACAAATTTTGTGTACTATTCTCAAAATTATTGGGAAGTCTTTCACAGCAAAATCATTGTGGCAAGTTCCTTGAACTTGAATAAGTTCTGACTTAATGAAGAAAGTAACTTTGTAAATTCTTTCATTATTTAGATTCTTTACTTCAATTGTTACTTTCTGTAAAGGTTGATGCGAGGATATGGTTGAGGGGGTGTCGACCCAAGAGACGTTCTTGTCATTTTGTTTTCCCATGATGTCATAGAAATAAATGTGTAGGGCTTTAAGCCACGCTTGAATTCTTTCGAACGTGGTTCTATATGCAATCATTCGGGCTTCTGTCTCATAAATCGTACTATCTATCTCCTCAAATAGACAACGATTAGATTTGTCCGTAGTGGGTTCTGTCAAATTTGGCGGGAGACAGTCAGCAGAGTAATGTTTCTCTAGATCGTCATTTTTTAGAATTTCTACAATGATCGGGTCCCCAAAACTGATATCCATATTATTTTTACCTTTTCGACGACAATATTCACTAGGTCTGCCTCTGTTGGAGGTAATATATGGCTGATAAAAAGCACAGATCTTTGCTGTCAATATTTGTTCCGACCTTCCATTACCGGAACCGGAAGTTATATATAATGAATAAAATCCTTTGGTATCTTGCGTAAATGCCTGGTAATGCAAGTTTTTTTTGTGAGGAAATTTGTTAAAGTAGCTATACTTCAATTCTTGGAAAAAAAATTATATTTTTGAAGAACGTGTCGTCTGACCTTAAAGATGAACTTACTATACGCAGTAAACGCAGGCTAAAGGAGTTTACTCAAAAGTGTAGAGTCATAATCAGAATGCAGAACGACAATTGAGATGTGTATAGACAGAATTGTAGTATATAATTATTACAAAAATGAAACTGTGCTCGTCCTAACGGTTTCATGGTAGAACATATTAAACAGATAAATGCTACTTAAAAAAAGAAGCAATTCGATTGCTTGAATGAAAACAAAGTATAGTACGAAAATAAATAGCGCGTATATATATATATTAACAAATTTCATATAAAAGGATGACGCAATCGCTACTTCTATATATAGAATGCAGTTAACTAAATATATTCTATTTTTCTAGTGTAATTTTGATGAAATAGAAAATAATGAAAACTTTGGATCAAATTTTTCATATTTGATATAGACCCGCAGTAAATCATGTCACCTTAACCTTTGAGAAGCCAAAAGGAGGGGGGGGGGGCTCTGAACAATTTGAATAATTATATTGGAGGATTTTGTCATGCTACAAAAATATGGGGATGGGGTTGTTGAGGGTAAGGGCAACCGCCTTTTAAGTGATTATTTTTATACTAAATTAATATAACAGTGAAACGTTATGTTTGGAATAAGGGGGAAAGGGGGTCCCGATACTACAATGTTCGTGCCTGCATTTAATTCCTTTAAAAATAATGCTCTATTGTTTATTTTTTAAAAAAGAAAAACAACAAAAGCATAAAACCGGGAAATAAAATCGGAAAGATTATATTGAATACAAAATTTCCTGTAATATTGCGTTTGATTATTTTTAAATTTCTTACAAAGATGGCGTTTTTCTGCATTAAAGGTTATGAAAATAAATACACTGTAGATTTTTGTGTAAGAGAATATACAATACGTGTATGTACTGGTTCTAATTAAATTTAATTTAATCCTTAAATTGTTGAGTAGAAAAAAATGACTGGTATTTTTTAAGGAATCATATTATACCATTTATGTAGACAGGTAACTTTTTTTCAGAAGGGGGGGGGGTGGGGTAAAATAACAAGTCAAAAGTAAACAAAAAAAAACAAAACCAAAATAAACAAAGAAAAAAATATATATTTCGGGAGGACATATTCAAGTTTCCCTTTTCGACAACAAAATGAGCCAATATGACAGTGATGCTCAGCAATGTAAGCGATACCACACTCAGTAGATAGGTACAAATTTATCAAACCTCTGATCAAGAGGCGTTTCAGAGATTCAACATATCGGAATTTAAGAAGCCTGAATCAACAGGTTGTTAGATTGTTCCTCGAAGAAAATATGATATATATATTTTTTTTAATCTGAGATAAATACTTGTACAAATTTGAGAGCAACAATATGAAGGCAAGAATATATAAGCTTTTGTTTTACAAAAGATGATTTTGTTTTTCTTCAAATGAAATTTAGCTTAAAGGCGGGGGGTGGGGGTGGGTTGGTTGTAGGCTGTTGATCAATCAAATAGAATATTCTGAATTCAATGACCGTATGTAGGATATGATGATAATATAAAAAATTATATTCATAGTTTTTGTGAAAGTGCATGTTTGCTGCACGACGTACCATTTTTCTATACACTCATTTGTCATTTTTAACCCCAAAGAACTTGAAAGAAGCAATTGGAATAAAATGCTATTTTTGCGTTTACGGTATTTACTCGCATATAAGTCGGTTTTTATAAGTCATTGTTTTTTCACATTATTTTGGAGGAATTTGGCATTGACTCGCTGATAAGTCGGTACAGTTTTTGTCCTGAATCTGTCACAAATTTCAGATTGATATTCTATTTTATTATACAGTCTATCTATAGTCCCTATATAATCTATACAAACGCAAACAGTTCATAACACTACATATTCACTGGATTTGAAGCCGTATTCACCGGAGGGTCAGTGCGCGTGCAGCTGCATTGTGACGTCATATAACTAATTTTCATGGTATGTTTTCGGACACTTTTAAAAGGCCTGCAAACCCGCGACCTACGTTAAGCGGGAAAAATGTTAGACAACTTATCGCAGGATTATTTTCTAAATATTTTGATGTCTTATACATAACAAAAGGAAAACACGGAAGTTAAAACTTGTACGTAATCTGGATTTTTTTTAATTTTTCTACGACAGAAGTTCGTAAATGAAAATGGTGTCGTCATACAGCCTTCAATGTCTTCTTTATTCAAATCCGGACTATATAATAAAACAATTATGGACTCTTTCGGTGGTGAATATGGTTTGTTATTCACCAGAAAAATATCAATATTGACCGAGGCGAAGACCGAGACAAACCATAAGAGTCCAAAATTGTATAGTATTTAACAATTCAAACAAACATTAGCATGAAATATGTCTTTGAAAAAAGAAGTCATGACTTAGAATCCATAGTGAGAAACAAGTCATGAATGAAGATTGAGAAGGAGTGTTTATGTTTGTCTCCACTAAAACTTCTGTGGTAAATGGTTGGTGTCTGGCTCATCCAATGATCAACCCATTGGCAGACTACCAGGTAATCCTTCGTTCAGCCAATATACTTTGAGCCTGAAAAAAAAAGATGAAACACATTTTAATCCATCATAAAGATTCTGGTGCATGAAAATACTTTTAACTCTGTGCAAAGTGAAATTTAAAGGAATAATGAAAATTCAAATGATTATACTTGAACTTGCGTTACATGTTAACATGAATTGATACATATTAAAAATGCATGTTTATAGTCAATTTTCAATTTCAGGTTCCAACCTGAAGAATACATGGGAAGAGTAAAACCTTTTTCATTTATATAAATACTTACTAGCTATAGTCTAGAAGAATGTCCCGAAACCTGAATGTTTAGTCCACCATCAGATGAATTTCAATATTTCAATCACAAAAATTGGGAAAAGTTATAATTATATTTTTAAGGAACGTTTCGTCTGACCTTAAGACTTATAATACTTAAGATGGTTTTGTGAAACGGCAGTCATATCTTATGATTGACGTAAGTCAAAAGTCAAACCTGAAGATAGTCTTAAGATCGATCTTAGGAGAGATCTGATGGTAGTGAAACCATAAAACTCTCTTCGAACCCCATCAAGGGCATAGGGTAATTAAAATCTGGAGAAAATGTAGATTTTATCATAACTTTAAAAAAAAATTTTTTGTTCAAATTAATTTGCAACATGCTAAAAATTAGAGTATATTACATTCATTTTCGGAGATTTGATTTTTGATTTTTTTTAATTTAATTTTATTTATTTATTTTATTATCATTATTTTTTTTTAGCATAAGAACCAAAAAAGGAAAAAAAAGTTCATTTGATAAAGATATTTCGTGATTAATTTGTGTTTTAGAAATTATTGAGTCTGTACAAACTGTTTAAAAGATTTCTATAGCATACTTTTTTGGGTATCCTATGCCATTAAGCAGAAGTTTCTCATACAACATATGAACTTGGTGTATTTAAATACAGGCGCTAGGTGTATTTTCTTCAGATGAGATATGCCTTACTCGACTTTCAGGGTTGAAACGGATCCTGCGGAGCTGATACGGACTTGTAGATTAAACCGTTAAAAACAGTATCTGTGATAATACGATTTTTTGTTTACATTCTTTGTAAAATTCTTGCATTTACATGTAATTTTGAATAAGTGGAATTTGATAAAACAAGCTATATAGTCAATGATTATTTATTTGTTTTGTGATGTAATAAACTAATAAAAAATACCCTTTTCCATAACATACCTTCGGCCCTCTTGCTGATATTGGTGTCTAGGGTTGATACAGGGTGTTTAAGGCAGAAAAACGTATAATAATAATATGAAAAAAAAAAAACACAACAAAACAAACACAATTCTTAAACACAGAAGCAAAAGAAACAAAAAAACCGCAGTGCTTTTTTGTCCATTTTCCCCCTTCTTGGGCCCACAATACATTTTACATTGTGCGCTCAGGTACAACAACCGGTTTCTATTTATACACCGGAAAGGCTTCGGTGTTTGGCGATTTTCACCTGACCAGGTGCAAACCTGTCAAAAATTATATCAAAAGAAGAGTACCTGGAGCAATAATGGTGAGTAGAATAATTGTTCAATGAGCAGATTATGAAATATGCCACCTTCTTATTCGGGGGGTATTGTAAATGCCTGCGTTCCCCCGATCGGAGGTGTCCTTATACTCCATACATATCACGTACACGTAGGTGTGGTCTTTTTCTCAGATAATCATAAGTTACAACAGAATTCTTTGGAGAGTGTGAAAATATCTCTATGGGATAGTAAGGTGTAGTAAAATATTCTTTTTAGGGACAATAAATATATATTTAAGAATTTCTTAAGAATGTGTTTTTGGGGCTCCTAAGGGTGATGGAAAGTCAGTGAATTATTCATGCATTCCCTCGGCATCTAAAAATGAATGTGATTTTATATGACCTGTGCTCACGTGGTTTGTTTGTTTTGTTTTGTTTTGTTTTTGTTTTGGCCGCCTTTATTTTTTTTAGTCTCATAGCTGAGTCACTCACGTGACCTATATATTGCTATTACTTTTTAGTGCGTTATGTGTCGTTCGTAAACCTGAACATTTTCAGATTCTTCTCTTGAAACACTAAACCAATTTCAACCAATTTTGGAACATACATCATCAATGGGGGATTGGGAACAAAAATTGTTCATTTCATTGTCCCTGCCCCCCTGGGCCTGAGTGATGGGGCTAAAACCATCAAAATTAATGCTATGTTTGTAAATCTTCTTATCAAGCAGTCAACATGATTGTAACAAGCATTCAGCCCTCTGCCAAAATGATAAAATTCATGGCCCTAGGGTCAGGTGTTCTAGTGATAAGGTGGGACTCTAATGATCATACAGTGAAAGTGAAAAAAAAAAATTAAAAAGCCCCTCCCCCTGTACATTTTGCAGATAAACTAGGTGCATGGTTGTAATGAGCAAGGGTACCTTTTCAAAAAAATGTGAAATTTGTGGCCCAAGGGTTAGAGGTTCTGGTAATGGTGGTTGAAGGAGGCTCTATTTATTTATTTTTAGTGAAAATGCATTATTTCTTTGAAAATCCTCATTGTTCCCAGGGTATTAAGGAAAACAACTAAGTGGAGAGTTATGATGAGGATAGGTGCCTCTTCCATAATTGTGAATTTCATGACCCCTAGGCCAGGGATTCTGGTCATAGGGTGAGGCTCTATTGATTCTAGTGAAAATGCACTAATTCTTTGAGAATCTTCTTCTCTGCTTCTGGATATTTAGCAGATAATCTAAGTGCATGGTTATGATGAGCAAGGGTGCCTCTTACAAACTTTTGAAATTTGTTGTCCCAGGGTTGGGGGTTCAGGGGGGGGGGGGGCTCTATTGATTATGCAGTGAAAATGCATTATTTAAAAATACATTGTATTCTCCTCTGCTCCTGGGTATTAAGCAAAGAAAGCAGTGACAGATCCAATACCTTTGGATTCCCTTAAAAGAGAGAGAGAGAACTGCAGAGCTGTAGCTCTCTTGTAGGGCTGGGACGATATATTGACATCAATATTATCAATTCTGTGTGAGTGCGATACGCATATTGATACATATGAAGAAATATCAACAAAAAATCTGACTTATGTTTTTCTTTGTTTACTTAACATTTTGGGTTTAATATATAAAATAAATATGGTAGTCTAAGATATAAGTATGAAGTTCATAATAATTAACACCACTTTTGTAAAATAATTTTGTTTTACAACAGATATACAATTTCTTTGAACATTAAATTATTCTTATTTGTGAAGAAATGTTTTGTTCATTTCAATACAAAATAAGATTTAGTAACCCCCCGTTCACACAGAGCTCCGACTTTGCGACGATCATCCCGATCAAGCCACGATCTGAAAAAGTTTTGGATCAGGGCGGATCGGAGCCGATCGGCGTCTAAATCGAGCAATTTGGCAAATTATGGTCTTCATTACGACCGTACTACGATGCCCCTATGTCAAACGCGCTGCTAACACGCTTCTACTACGATGTTATGCAGACCGTTGCCGACCAGCTGCCGCGTTTACTGCGTTTACGCTACGCTGCCGCTACGACATTCAAGATCATACTACGACGCTTCGCAGACCTAGATGACTGTACGACGATATCGCTACGGTGGTGCCGATCATATTGCGATTGTATTACGCTTCTAGTACGATTTTGGCGATGATGTATATATATCTTGGGTTTGAAACATATTTTTCACTTCTGTCCAAACTTTACCACGGGGTTAACGGGGCATTTTCAATTGTAACTGTAACAAGATGTGAAAAGTTCGAAGTCTCAACTGCAAATGATTGTCAAGTATAGTGTAACCCTTTACATGTAGTTGACAGATGATGCTTGGTCAAATATCAGCGCTATAAAAACAAACTGCTGCCTGGTAGGTCGTGATATGATCGGCGTAAGGTCATTGTAGGTCTTCGTAGGATCGTCAGGAACGTAGAGAGATCGTAGTGGGAACGTAGTAAGAACAAAGTGGGAGCGTTGTAGGAGCGTATACTTGATAAGTTCCCGACTGTACTTCGCTTTTACTGCGCTTTTACCACGATCACGAAGATCTCTCCACGATGCTTCTGCGCTGCTTGTATGATTACGGCGCTTCTACTACGCTCTTTTTACGACTTTACCCCGATTCTTGTTTGCCACGATCCCGCTACACTTGTTTTGAGCATGTTCAAAATAAGCGTGGCGAGAGCGTAGATCTTACCGATCATGAAGACCCTACCGTGATCATACTGCGCTTATAAAGACTCCACTTCGTTTCTCCTGCGATTTGTCACGATCGGTCACGTTTTCAGCCACCCTTTGATTGTAGTAGAAGCGGCGTCTATGTGTGAACGGGGGCTAACCAATTAAACATACCGTTCATGGTAGCTCAGTCGGTAGAGCGCTCGTTCCGTGATCGGGAGGTCGTGAGTTCGAATCTCGGCCGCGACAAACCTAAGTCGATAAAAAATGGGTAGCAACTGTTCCTTCGCCATGCGCTCGGCACTTTGAAGTGAAAGTTGCGGGTCCTTCGGATGAGACCTTAAAAACCGAGGCCCCGTGTCATGGCAGGCGTTGGCACAATAAAGATCCCTCACTGCTCAATGGCCCTGAGTGCCGAGTAAAGGTCAAAATTTGAAGCCCTTCACCGGCATATGGTGACGTCTCTATATGAGTGAAAAATTCTCGAATGGGACGTAAAACAATATACAATCAATCAACCAATTAAACATCTCATGATACATATCATATCGTGGCTCAAATACCTTGATACGAATCGATATAGAAAAAGTTGTATAGTCCCAGCCCTTCTCTGTTTGGGTAAATTTAGACAGAAACCAGAGAGTTACAGATCCAAACATTGTAAAAAGCTTAGATTTTTTTGTTGCTCGCTTTTGGTATTATTTCTTGTTGCTGTATAGTATATGCGTCTCCCCACTTTTTGAAAGTATGCTATCTATAAATTATCCATATATTTTACTCTTTTTCCCAATACTTTATTTGCCTTTAGTGAGCGTTATTAAGCATAATCCAACCATATGGACATAGGAAGGCGAATTTTAAAGGCTGACATTCCAAGGCCATATAGCACGTACTGTTTGTAATCTTTGAAAGGTAAATAAAGTATCAGTAATACAAAATAAGTATCAGTAGTACATGCCTACGTGTAAATAAATTAATATCATCCTTTAAGCTGGGAAGCACATAGTATGCAAGAAATAATACCCAAAGGGAGCGACAAATTGTCACCTTAAATCAAATGGTATTTACAATGCTTGGATCTGTGCATGTAGCTCTCTAATTTGTCTCTCTGAATTTTCTCAACCAGGGAGCTACAGTTCTACAGCCAAGAGAGATAGAAGAGAGTCCTGAATTTTTGTTGTGCTCTTACTATAGAAATGGTTCAGTGAAAGGCTAATTTAGTTGTGAAAAAATGGAAACACCCCCCCCCCCCCAATTTGGAGAATTATTTTCCTTTTTTTTGTCAAAAATTTTCAGATAATCCAGAATTTATTTTCCTGGCTGCCCCCTTTCAAATGATACTATGTCCCTATAGTATTCCAATTAAGTTGTTGTTTAACTATGTAAAGATATGTTATAGGAACTCTCGTTTCCTCTTCAACCCCTCCTCCCCCCTTGAAAAATTTCTAAATCCATGCCTGCAAAGTAAGTGCATAGTTATGATGAGAATAGTTGCCTCTTTCAAAATTGTGTATTTCATTGTTCCAAGGTCAGGGGAACTGGTGTTAGGTTTGCACTTTATTTATTATGTAGGAAAAATAGCAAAAATGCATTATTTATTGGAAAATCTCCTTCTCTACTCCTGGTATTATGCAAACAAACTTAGTGCATAATTATGATGAGCAAGGCTGCCTTTTCCAAAATTGTGAATTTCATGGCCCTTTGGTTAGAGGTTTTCTGGTGTTAGGTGGGACTCTATTGATAATTTAGTGAAAATGATTTAATTCTTTGAAAATTTTCTTTTCTGCTCCTGGGTATTTAGCAGGTAAACAAAGTGCACGGTTATGGTGACAAGCTAAGAATGCCTCTTCCAAAATTTTGAATTTCAGGCTCTATAGATTAGATAGTGAAAATGCACTGATTCTTTGAAAATCTTCATCCGTTATCTTTCCTAACCCACATTGGTTAGAGCATGAGCATTGCTCTAGAGTAAGAAGATGATCCTTTGTTGCAGCTCCGAATCCCACTGTGAAACATGGAGACAGGTCCATCGGATGAGACGGTGTAAACAGATGTCCCTTGTCACAGTAGGTGCTAGCTGAAAAAGATCCCTCACTGCTCAAAGGTCTTAAGTGCCAAGTACTGCTATAGTCTTGACCCTATGACCTTGAAGTTTAATCTTATTTTAAAGAATTTTAACATTGGTGATAACTTTTGAATGACAGAAGATATGGTGTTCATTTTTGACATGCATTACTTGTGACAATATTTTGGACCCTGTGACCTTGAAGCTTGATTTACATTCCAAATTTTTTACATTGGTATTAACTTTTGAAGAGAGAAGATAGGGCTTTCATATTTTACTTGCACATTACCTGTGACAACCCCTTACAGAAAGAACTATCATTTTTTACTTCATGACTTTGGTCTAGAAGTTTGTCCTTCTTATCAAATATTTTAACTTTGGTCATAATCTTTTGCTCCAGAGGAGGCAGGACTTTCATATTTTTTTCACATTTGCATTCCTTATGACAAGACCTTTTAGATTGCATTATGATATTTTAGCTCATGATCTTGAAGTTGATGCAGTACTGAGAAGCTTTTAAGAGCCCTCTCTACACTGCACACTATTGGGTTCTGATTTTGTGGTATTTTTATGCAGAGTATTCTGCCCTTTGATCAGGAATAAAATAAATTGAAATGTAAAGTTTATTACTTAATTTGTGATCAAATTATGCATTCATAACATATCAGTAGGCCAAGATGAATAGAACACTTCATTTGTAGGTATTTTGCCCACTTATCAGTACTTCATTGTCTTTGAACATTTTTCCGGGGGGGGGGGGGGGGGGGGTGAATGCAAGGTACATGTACCATGTGTTGAAAATATGATATATAAGCTCAATATTTACACCTTTACACACCATAATTTCCTCAATGTACAAAAAATCTTCCAAAGTATAGAGGGTTCTTAATTCAATTTTTTTGGTATGATGGACAGAAAAGACAAGGATACACAAACAAGACAGTTACAATATACCCTAAATAATTGCATCCCAACAACTAAGACACGAAAAGTGGGAGACCTAGATTATTTGAATATGCTTGTTTATTTTAAATAAAAAGCAAACTTGTAAAAAATAGCATTAAGATAGCTAAGTCAAGCTACTTAAGTTGTTTGATAAAGCTAGGTAGGTAATTCAAGCTACATGTAGGTAGCTAATTGTAGTGATTATAATGGACCTGATGATCTCATCACAACACAGCAATTAACAGATTAATCAACAAGCTGAAAATTTGTCCTTGAAGCATAAAATTGCTTACATGTAATCATGCTTTTCCCACGCAATAATTACACTATATTATCAGTTAGCCTACTGCTAATTTACAAGTACCTCTATATTCAGTAAAATTTGAATGATTATTGTTTTACTAATGCTTTGAACATATTGAATATCATTTGCAAAAGGACTGATTGCAAGTCTTTTTCATTCTTAATAGTCAATCCATTTCCTGTTATACATTGTGTGCATGTTTATATGTGTGGATGAGAGAGAGAGAGAGAGATGCAAGCAAAGTATATTAATTGAAGAAACATAATTTCAGTGTTAATGTTTTTTTTTTACTTGTATATGAATTGTATTATGTGTAGCCAAATTTAATGCTTTTAAAGTTAACAGATAGTATATGTTAACAGTATTTTTTCCCCTTTTTCCGAGAAATTTAGAATTACAATGTAAGATCTCCTTATAAGTAAAAAATATGTTGTTTGATTGCTGTTTTAAAAAATAATGAGTAGGGAATAATTAAACTTTGAAGAGTTGCCATGTTATCCTTTTTGAGCTCATCTGGTAACCCAATTTCTGAATTCTTAATTTGTTTATATATTCATTTAAATAACAGGCCTAGAATTACCAAATTGCTTTCATTTCCTTCTTAGTAATTATTATATTTCATGCCCATTTCTTATACTCATGTACATATTCAGATAGAAGTTGGATATATGAGTGGTGTATGTTAAAGTTTGTGTTTTTCAAAAAAAAGGGGGGGGGGCATAAAATTACTTCATGCATAATTTTTTTTCCAGTTTAACTTGTTATACCCCCTCTTTGAAAGGGATGTGATGAGAGTGTCTGTTCATACGTTACACTTGGGGATAGCCATCACTTACTTACTTCATAAATACAATTTAATGAAACAAAACCTTTTTAGCTCACCTGAGCTGAAAGCTCAAGTGAGCTTTTCTGATCACCCGTTGTCTGCTGTCTGTCCATCTGTCTGTCTCTCCGTCTGTCTGTCTGTAAACTTTTCACATTTTCAACTTCTTCTCAGGAACCACTGGGCCAATTTTAACCAAACTTGGTACAAAGTATCCTTTGATGAAGGGGAGTTAAAATTGTTAAAATGAAGGGCTAAGTCCCATTGCAAGGGGAGATATTCAAGAAAAGGCAAAATTAGGGTGGGGTCATTAAAAAATCTTCTTTCAAGAACCACTAAGCCAGAAAAGCTGAATCTTACGTGAAAGCATCCTGGGGTAGTGTAGATTCTATATTGTGAAAATCATGCCTCCCGGGGGTTGGGAGGGGCCACAAAAGGGAATCCAAGTTGTACATTGAAATATATAGGGAAAATCTTTAAAAATCTTCTTCTCAAGAACCAGTGGACCAGTAAAGCTGAAACTTATATGAAAGCATTCTGGGATAGTGTAAATTCTAAATTATTAAAATCATGACCACCGGGGGTAGGACGAGGCCACAATAGGGAATCCAAGTTTTACATTGAAATATATAGGAAAAATCTTTAAAAATCTTCTTTCAAGAACCACTAAGCCAGAAAAGCTGAATCTTACGTGAAAGCATCCTGGGGTAGTGTAGATTCTATATTGTGAAAATCATGCCTCCCGGGGGTTGGGAGGGGCAACAAAAGGGAATCCAAGTTGTACATTGAAATATATAGGGAAAATCTTTAAAAATCTTCTTCTCAAGAACCAGTGGACCAGTAAAGCTGAAACTTATATGAAAGCATTCTGGGATAGTGTAAATTCTAAATTATTAAAATCATGACCACCGGGGGTAGGACGAGGCCACAATAGGGAATCCAAGTTTTACATTGAAATATATAGGAAAAATCTTTAAAAATCTTCTTCTCAAGAACCACTGGGCCAGAAAAGCTAAAATTTAAATTAAATTGTCCAAATCATGACCCCTGGGGGTAGGGTGGGGTCACAGTAGGTATTACATGGGGGAATCTGGCAAAGCACAGCATGGCCAAAGTTATTCAGGTGAGCGACGTGGCCCATGGGCCACTAGTCTTGTTTACATGATAGTGGCATTGTGCATCTCCTACTTTAGGTTTCGATGGGACATATATTTGGGGTTTCCGATACCAAAACATGGACACTGCTATTCTTTATGTAAAACTAAGGGTGCCATATTTTATCCGCAGCGCCTCCTATACGACTGAGTAAAATTTTCCGAGACTTTCATAGATCTTAATTACATAGTGTCATTATGCATCTCCTTCTTACGTCTTTTGGGGATTTCCCATAGCAAAACAATGAATTTCAGAGAATCTCATTTACATATTGCCAAGAAATGCACTTGGTCATTATACTCATATGAAAGCTGAGGGGGGGGGGGTGCACCCTCAATTGCTTATTATTGCGTCTTATTCCATGGTATGTCATGCATTTTTTAATTCTCTTTTCAGACAAAGCTTTCAGCAAGTCAGCTTGACGGTATGTTGCCTTATTTCTTTGCAGCTTATCATCATATTGAACTGAATGAATAAGAGAAATTTCATCATCTGTGTGTTAATAAAAAAAATTCAAACGACGCTTCACTTTTTTTCCAGAATTGAAGGAAGCCTTTGTGATTTTTGACAGAGACAATGATAACAAAATAAATATGCAAGAACTTGCAACGGTCATGAGGTCTATAGGTTTCAGTCCTACTCAAGCCGATCTTCAGGCTATCCAACAGGAGTACGGAAATCGTTTGCTTGACATCAACGAAGTTCAAAATGTCATATCGCGAAGAGCTCCTCCTCCAGAAACAGAAGACAGCGTTCGGGACGCCTTCCGAATCTTTGACAAAGATGGCACGGGGTATGTCAGTGCTTCCGAACTTCGACATGTTCTGACACATCTAGGAGAGAAGTTGTCCGATGAAGAAGTTGATGAAATGATTCGAGAGGCCGACATTACTGGTGACGGACAGGTCAATTATGACCGTGAGTATGTTAGTTATAACTGACTTGAATATGCATTAGAATCGAATGGTCTTTGATATCACAAAATAATAAAGGGCTATCTATGAAACATCTTTTTTTGTTTTCAGATTTTGTGAACATTTTGTGCTCTGCAAGATGAAGTCTTGTCTACAAATCTACAACATAATGATACGATTGGGATCTGACGTTTTAGAAGCATTTAGTATTCAAGTAGCCTGTGTACGGCGCTGTATATATTGGATATATCATAGAATATTGCCTGATAATTTCACGTGTTCAAAATAGTATCATCAAATGAAATCAGTAGTCTTTGATAATTAGCATCATTCTTCAGTTTGTGTACATTCCGTTTTAATGTAACAGCAATAATGTGTAATTACAAACATATTATTTATACATTTTTTGTTTTCTCTGTATTAGACGACATGGACTTTGGTCCAGCACACTCTCTAATCGACATACGTGTATTACATCAGAGACAGTGCTCCCAGATTGGTTATTTTTTCATAAACGCAAGAGGCGGGCCACAACGCTTACGTCACCTTGGCCCTGCTGCTTTTCAGAAGATTGCTTATTCCCTTGAAAAAAGTTTGACTTCATATTGTGGCCCACCACAACCCCAAGGGGTCACGACTTAACCAAATTTGAATCCACTACCTAGTGATTCTGAATATCAATATGATTAATATGTCCCAGCTGTCCTGGAGGAATATCTTAATGTTTTTAGCTCACCTCGACGAAGTCGAGATGAGCTTATGCTATACCCCCGGCGTCGGCGTCGGCGTCGGTGTCGGCGTCGGCGTTAGCGTCGGCGTCCCAGGTTAAAGTTTTAGGAGCAAGTCCCATTCCCAAGTAACTATAAGCCCTACCTGGACCAAACTTGCATGGATGATGCATCTAGGGATGGACACTACCAAACTTGCTTCGGATGCTGGATCTGACCTAGATTTTCCGGATGAGTGACCAGGTTAAAGTTTTAGGAGCAGGTCCATTCCTAAGTAAGTATAAGCCCTACCTGGATCAAACTTGCATGGATGATGCATCTAGGAATGGACACTACCACACTTGCTTCGGATGCTGGATCTGACCTAGGTTTTCCGGATGAGTGACCAGGTTAAAGTTTTAGGAGCAGGTCCATTCCCAAGTAACTATAAGCCCTACCTTGACCAAACTTGCATGGATGATGCATCTAGGGATGGACACTACCACACTTGCTTCGGATGCTGGATCTGACCTAGATTTTCCAGATGAGTGACCAGGTTAAAGTTTTAGGAGCAGGTCCATTCCCAAGTAACTATAAGCCCTACCTTGACCAAACTTGCATGGATGATGCATCTAGGGATGGACACTACCACACTTGCTTCGGATGCTGGATCTGACCTAGATTTTCCAGATGAGTGACCAGGTTAAAGTTTTAGGAGCAGGTCCATTCCCAAGTAACAATAAGCCCTACCTTGACCAAACTTGCATGGATGATGCATCTAGGGATGGACACTACCACACTTGCTTGGATGCTGGATCTGACCTAGATTTTCCAGATGAGTGACCAGGTTAAAGTTTTAGGAGCAGGTCCATTCCCAAGTAACTATAAGCCCTACCTGGACCAAACTTGCATGGATGATGCATCTAGGGATGGACACTACCAAACTTGCTTCGGATGCTGGATCTGACCTACATTTTCTGGATGAGTGACCAGGTTAAAGTTTTAGGAGCAGGTCCATTCCCAAGTAACTATAAGCCCTACCTTGACCAAACTTGCATGGATGATGCATCTAGGGATGGACATGACCACACTTACTTCGGATGCTGGATCTGACCTACATTTTCCAGATGAGTGACCAGGTTAAAGTTTTAGGAGCAGGTCCATTCCCAAGTAACTATTAGCCCTACCTGGACCAAACTTGCCTGGATGATGCATCCAGGGATAGACACTACCACACTTGCTTCGGATGCTGGATCTGACCTAGATTTTCCACATTTGAGACCAGGTTTAGATTTAGGAGTAGTCCCATTCCCAAGTAACTATAAGCCCTACCTCGACCAAACTTTCATGGATGATGCATCTAGGGATGTACACTAACCAACCTGCTTCGAATGCTGGATCTGACCTAGATTTTCCACATGAGTGAATTTTAGCCATATTTTAACCAAATTAGCATGGATGATGTATCTAGGGATGGACACTTCCAGACTTGGTTTGGATTCTGAATCTGACGTACATTTTCCAGATGAGTGACCAGGGTAATTTTTTTGGAGTAGCTATATAATATTATGGCCTGTTATGATTAAACTTGCATAGATGGTGCATCTAAGGATGAAAACTTGCAGTCTTGCTTTGGATGTTGGAACTGACCAAAATTTTCTTGATTACTAAACAGGTCAAAAGTTTTTTGAGCAGGTCTATAATTAAATCCAACTTGCATGGATATTGATCTTGGGATGTACCCTAACTAGAAAAAAAATATGATGTGAAATTTGCCTTACATGTAGATAACATTCGTCGAGGTGAGCTTCGTAATCTTTGATTACCTATGTTTTTACGTTTGTAAATGTAAATTTCATCCTTAAGTTCCATGCAACCTAAATAACCCCTTATCATGATTGAACAAACTTGAATTTACATAGCGTAGGAATGCATTTCAATATGATTTAGTCTCACCACACTAATTTTTTTTTAAAGAAGATTGGTGGAATGAAGGTCACTAAATGTTCGCGAAATCTTATTTTCACGAGAAATATATTTGGTATTCGTGGGCGAAAGAACATTTTTACGAATTATGGTTATTGTATATTATCTATATTAATAAATATAAAAGCGAGAAGGAAATTTTAGCGAGCAGATGTCTGGCGTAATTACGCGAAAATAAAGTTCTCGCGAATAAAATGTGATTTACAGCTTTGGCTTGCAGGAATCATCTGCAGGAATCATCTGTACGAAACATTTATAGATTAAAGGGGCATATACACAGATTTGAAGTTAATATTTTCTAAAATTTTCTGTATAATGTCATGACTTATGTGTTGCTACATGTATAGCATTTCACACGGAAATATAATAATAAACTTATTTTTTCTGGAAATTATTGAAACTACGAATTTTGGGACGCGTTTGATTGACACATCCTTGTACTTTCACAAAGTAAACTTTATCCTCAATACTTAAGAAAGTTATAAATTTTGTTCTGTATTAATGAAAAAAATTAAAGATACATTTGTATAATCCAGAAAAACCAACTCACCAGTATTGTCAGTCCGTGCTCAATGATGTGTACAGAGTTTAACAAATTGAACACAACCGGTGCACCCCTACTAATGTGTTCAGAACATTTCATTTTTCGGTGTTCTGCAAATTATAAAATCTGAGGAGTTCCCAGTAGCTCTGGCGAGATCTGACGAGACTACAACGAGATAAGGTAAATTATTTACGGAAATGTGGTTAGGAAGTATGGTGGCATATTTCTGCCCCCTACATGCAAGATAAATTATGTTAACATGCAACATAATTATGTAGACATGCGACTTATTTATGTCAACATGCAAAATAATTATGTTGACATGTAAGTTACCAATCTTTTTAGAGAGTCTAATTTTAATATTGGTAAAATTACTTACCAACGCCATTATATAACACGATACAATCAAGATGCAACAGAATTATATAGACGTGCGACTTATTTATGTTTACATGCGAGCTGATTCGGATTAGACCGTATAAACCGAGGTCTCATGTCGCAGTTGGTGCTGGCACGAAAAAGATCCCTCACTGCTCAATGGCCCTCAGTGCTGAGTATAAGTCAAAATTTGCAGCTCTTCACCGGCAAGTGGTGGCGTCTCCATATGAGTGAAAAATTCTCGAGAGGGACGTTAAACAATAAACAAACAAACAAACTAAATAGATACAAGGTCATGGATGAAAAATATATGAAGTACTAAAAATGACCAACGACACGAACAATTTTGTTCGTGTCGTTGGTCATTTTTAATGATGTATATATATATACATGTATTTAGTGAGATATATATATATATATATATATATATATATATATATATATATATATATATATATATATATATATATGTGTGTGTGTGTGTGTGTGTGTGTTGTCAAATCGGACGATTTTTAGTAACCGGTTACTCGCTTACTTTTCCGATCGAGTACCCGGTTACTCGGATGATTTTTCGTTACAGTTACCATATCTATCATTTACCTCATCCTTTACCTATCGGTAGAAATAAAACAAATGTACTGTATATGAACTATATTTACAATTACAAACTCAAACACAAACACACGATATCTTAAAGGAATTTTGATTTTAGATGTCACTCGAAACGGTTAGTTTGTTTTTTTGTTTAAGAAGACAGATATTCGTCAATCACCATTTTTACAATGGCTCTCGTTACGTTTTCCTTTGCAGCCCCTGATATATTTCGCGATCAAGGAGAATTAAAATACCCGTAATTACTACATGGTTGATTTGTAGAGTGTCCAGTAAATGGCTGGTTTCCGAGTAATGTTTTAATATTAGGTGATTTAACATATTTGTAGTCCCACTCGTATACAATAACTCCGATTCACATAATTTACATTTTAATACAGATCTCGAATCAGCTGTTCGTTTAAAATACTTCCAAGCTTTATGTCTGCGGCGGCATCTTAATAAATTATGTTCCTTTGACTAGCACAGGTGTAAATGAGGTAATTATAACTCAAGTCTTCAAAACCTTTATACTCCTGGCAATCAAAGCTATCAATTATATAAAATGTGAAAACTAATCAAAACAAATCAATCCTATTTGTGAACCACTAGATCAAGTCTAACGGTAAATAATTTTAGGGAAATGTGTCAATATATATTTATGAACAATATTATAACATTCATTTTCTACGTATTTATTATGTTAAATGTATTTTTATCCGAGTAACCGAATAGCAGTTTTACTAACCGATACTTGCTTCGTTCGACGGTTAACCGGGTACTCGTTGACAACACTAATATATATATTCATATATATAATATGTATAGGGCTCTAATTGGCGACTAATTTAGTCGCCATGGCGCCTAAAATTTTTGATTGGCGACTAAAATTTCTCTATAAGTCGTCAAATTGGGAACCTTTTTATATTGCCTTGGCGATCGTCAAATTCCAAAATATAAACATTTTTAACACTTTTTTTTTCTAAAGAGATGAAAAGAAGTTTAAAAGCGAGCAATGAACATGTCTTGTGTTTTCTTTGTCACCTTGTTTATCAGCTTTTAAAGTTGGCACCTGAGAAAAATTTGCCTGGTGACAAAAAAATTTTTGTTGGCGACTTAATGTTTTTGATCAGGAGCCAGCTGGCGCCTAAATTTTAGAGGTCACTTAGAGGCCTGATTAAGTATATATATATA